AGATCTGTGAGTTAGAGTGGGAGATCTGTGGGGCAGGGTGGGAGGATCAATGGGGCAGGGTGCGAGATCTGTGGGGCAAAGTGGGAGGATCAATGGGGCAGGAGATCTATGGGGCAGGGCGGGATATCTGTGGGGCAGGGCTGGAGGATCAATGGGGCAGGGTGGGATATGTGTGGGGCAGGAGATCTATGGGGCAAGGTGAGAGGATCAATAGTACAGGGTGGGAGGATCAATGGGGCAGAGTGGGAGATCTGTGAGTTAGAGTGGGAGATCTGTGGGGCAGGGTGGGAAGATCAGTGGAGCAGGGTGGGAGGATCAATGGGGCAGGGTGGAAGGATCAATGGGGCAGGGCCGGAGATGTGTGGGGCAGGGCCGGAGGATCAATGGGCCAAGACTGGAGGATCAATGGGCAGGGTGGGAGATGTGTGGGGCAGGCCCGGAGGATCAATGGGGCAGGGTGGGAGATGTGTGGAGCAGGCCCGGAGGATCAATGGGGCAGGGTCGGAGGATCAATGGGGCAGGGCCGGAGGATCAGTGGGGCAGGCCCGGAGGATCAGTGAGGCAGGGTGGGAGGATCAATGGGGCAGGGTGGGAGGATCAATGGGGCAGGCCCGGAGGATCAGTGGGGCAGGCCCGGAGGATCAATGGGGCAGGGTGGGAGGATCAATGGGGCAGGCCCGGAGGATCAATAGGGCAAGGCCGGAGGATCAATGGGGCAGGCCCAGAGGATCAATAGGGCAAGGCCGGAGGATCAATGGGGCAGGGTGGGAGATGTGTGGGGCAGGCCCGGAGGATCAGTGGGGCAAGGCCGGAGGATCAGTGGGGCAGGGTGGGAGGATCAATAGGGCAAGGCCGGAGGATCAATGGGGCAGGCCCGGAGGATCAATGGGGCAGAGCTCCGTGGGGCCGTGCCCAGCTCCAGCCGCAGCGACAATCGCTGTTCCGCCGTCCGGGGCGCTCCGCTCTGGGGCCGGCAGCGCCGCGGTTCGCGGCAGAGGGAGGGACGGAGCGGGTTTTGGGTGCTTGGGCAGTCCGGCTGTTTTCCACGCTCCATACTAACCCCAAATCTGGATTTTCCCATATTTTTTTCCCCTTCCCGAACCTGCCTCCTGCCCTTTTTCCCTGGCTCCCAGGGAGTGGGGAATGCGAGTCCTCCCTGCCTGCCTGGGGTGCTGCGGCCAGAAGAAAACCTGATAAAACCCTGAAGGAAACCTAAAGAAACCTGGAGGAAACCTAAAGAAACCCTTCAGGAAGCCCAAGCCCTGCGGAGCCTGGCGGGGTTTGATAACTGGTTCGATGTCTCGCCCTGCTCAGGTAATTAGGCTGACACGGCTCGTAAAGATTCCTGCCTGCAATTCTGCATGCGGGGTAATGAACCAGCTGCAATTAACGAGCTGTAATTATCGGCTTAGGGAGATTATCGAACTTTCCTCGGCAGAGTGATGCTGCAGGATGGGCGGGGAGCAACGCCCCGGAGGGATCCGGCTGTTCCTGGGGTTCCTGGGGCGGTCTGGGGAGGGTTGGGATGGGCTGGGGCTGGGGAAAGGGGCTGGCATTGGGCACAGAAAGGCTGGCAATGGGCAAGGAGAGAGTCTGGGACTGGGGGAAGGCCAGAGGCACCCCCGGAGCCGGCTGCCCCTGCTCCCTGCGTGATGGACAGGCGGGATCCGTCTGTCATGTGCCACTTTCCCAGGACAGGCTGTAATTAGGGACAATCAGCTC